AAGTTACTACCTCATTAGAAATTTAGAACATTTGGAAATTTTCAACGACAACAAGGCATTAATGTCGTCTTTGGAAAGTACCAAAAGCAATCTACTGTGAAAAATATATGGAAAAAGAGGTCGATTTTCTTCAATCTTCCATATTGGTCTAGTCTTGATGTAAGACATTGTATTGATGTGATGCACGTGGAGAAAAATGTATGTGATAGTTTAATCGGAACACTTCTCAACATTCAAGGCAAGACAAAAGATGGTTATAATGCTCGTCTGGATTTGAGTTTGATGGGTATACGAGAAGAGTTAACTCCACAACATATAGGTAACAAGATATATTTGCTTCCTGCCTGCTACACTCTGTCGAAAAAAGAGAAAATAAGTTTCTGTGAGTGTTTACAAAGTATTAAAGTGCCACATGGTTACTCATCAAATGTCAATAGGCTTGTCTCAGGTAAAGATCTCAAATTAATTGGATTAAAATAAGTTTGGTGCACGTAAGTACATTTTCTATTTTTATTAGTGTCAATATCTATTAATATGTTATATCTCTCATCACTTTTATTATAATGTTGATTTTAAAACTTTTCAGGTATATTCATCGTTTGTGTATTGATACTTCACAATCTGAAGTATACGGATTTATGGACCCTGCTGTGTGTACGTACGTTGATCATGTGCCAAAAACTCAAGCAATTGTCAAACAATACATACAAGATAAGTTACGTGACAAAAAAAGAGAGTGTCACTTGCTACCATTTATTCATGGGTAAGTTTGTATGAAATTATGTTTTCTATTTTTTAATTTTGGTAACATATATAGTTCAATTTTGGTAACATGAAATTGTGACTTTTGTGTTTCCACACACACGTACAGAGATCATTGGCAATTAATAGTCATGTGTCCAAATGATAATACAGTGATCGTCTTTTGTTCACTTCATCATGAACTTAATCAAACCATGACGAAAATTGTTACAAGGTAAGTTTATCTTTTATGTTCACTTCATCCTATATAAATAATTTGTTACAAAAGTAATATCATATGTTATGTGGCTTTATATGAATTTTTTTCTTCTGAATTAGTGCTTTTGGGGTTCATCAAGCGGCAAATGGGAATAGAAAAAAAAGCTACATGGCTTCAACCCAATGTAAGCGTGGTGTAAATTATAATTATATATTTAATTTTATCATATAAGTATTCACTAATTATGTCATTCATTTGTAGACAAGGAAACAACCTAACTCTGATGATTGTGGGTATTATGTGATGAAAAATATGTTGGATATTGTCTCTGCAAAAATAACCAAATCTTGGATGAAGGTAATAAAAATGACTTTAATTTGTTATTTACTTTACGTTTTGCAACTTAATGTGAATTTTCAAAGAATAACTCTATTGTTACTTACGTGTTGTAGGTATTTGATGATCCAATGAACTTATCAAACGATGATTTGTATGATTTGCGACTCTGTTGGGCAACATGTTTCTTTGAGTTATATAAAGGTTGAGTTTTTTGTTGTTGTAGTGGTCCATTGTGCAAACCTCCTTATAATTTAGTACATTTGTGTATATCCTATATCAGTACTTTTGTATCAGTACTTTTGTAAATCAATTATGTGTATACATACTAGATATTTGGTGCAATCAAATTAGATTTATGAGAAAAATATGAAAATAACGACCTAAATATGGTCTATGTGATGTTGCAAAACTATGAAAATAGCGACCTAAATGTGGTCTATATAATGTGCACTATGGAAAATAGCGACCTAATTATGGTCTGTGTAATGTTAGAAAAATATAAAAATTAGGTACCAAAAAAGATACATGGAACGGCTAAAAAATAGACAAATAATGTATACTCGTAATAGTACTTTTTACATCGGGCGAATGAAACAACCGATGTAAAAAACTACCTTTTACATCGGTTTAACGGAATAACCGATGTAAAAAGTGTCAGCAAATTTTTTCCCTACAGTACTTTTCACATCGGGTGAACCAACAAACCGATGTAAAAAACTACCTTTTACATCGGTTTAACGGAATAACCGATGTAAAAAGTGTCAGCAAATTTTTTTCCCTACAGTACTTTTCACATTGGGTGAACCAACAAACCGATGTAAAAGTGTCAGCATGGAATTTTTTTTCCTCCAGTACTTTTTACATCGGTTTTGGCACGCAACCGATGTAAAATACCCACCTTTTACATCGGTTTTTCCCTGCAACCGATGTAAAAACACCCTTTTATAATTAAAATTTACAGTTATAAATTTTTTTCCACATCAGACTTAAATATTTAACCGCTGTGATTGGTGTATTTCTTACATCGGACCACAGAACCGATGTAAAATGTCTTTGATTTACTACATCGCCTGGCTTTACATCAGACTAAGACCCGATGTAAAAAGTCAATTTCGCTCGATGTAAAAAGTCATTTCTGCACTAATGGTCCCTTCCTAAGGCTCTGCTATCGTCTTTTATTGTGTTAATCCCTAAGAACCTTAATCCTCAAGATTTGAACGAACACCGACCTATTAGTCTTCTGAGTTTGCATCTATAAGGTGATTGCGAAGATATAGGCTTTTAGGTTAAGTAAGGTGATTGGCAAGTTGATTTCTAAGTCTCAAACGGCCTTCATCCCAGGTAGACAGATTTTAGATGGAGTGTTGGTGACTAATGAGATTATAGACCTAGTTAAGAGAAGGAAACGTAGTTGTCTAATGTTCAAGGTGGATTTTGCGCAAGCATATCATTGCGTGGAGTGAAATTTTTTTGAAGAGGTAATGTTGACTATGAATTTCAGTGAGAAATTAATGATTTGGCTTAAAGGGGAAGTCCTAAATAATTTCATGTTGGTATTGGTGAATAAAGGAGCTACCAAATATTTTAAAAGCTCTAGGGGATTAAGCTAATATGACCCCTTGTCACTTTTCCTATTCTCTATTGTGGCAGAGGGTTTGGCTTGCTTGGTGAAAAGGGCTAGCAATATAGGGTTATTCTGTGGCTTTAAATTAAATGGGAAATGATGTTGTCAGCCTTGTACAATTTGCAGATGATACAATTCTATTTTTTGAAGCAGATTAAAAAATTTGTGGGGAATCAAATCTATTATAAGAGGATTTGAATTAGTATCGGGGCTACCTATTAATTTTTGGAAGAGTTGCATATATGGAATGGGAGTTGAGGAAGCATTGTTGTCAGCGACAACATATTTCTTAATTTGCTGACAAGGTATCATTTCCTTTAAATTTTTTAGGCTGTAGGTGGGAGGAAACCATAGAATGTCTAACTTTTGGAAACCGGTGTGGATTGTTTTAAGGAGAGATTATCTACTTGAAAAAGCAAAATGTTATCAATGGGTGGTAGGGTCACACTTATAAACTATGTGCTCACTAATTCACCTGTCCACAATATGTCTTTCTATAAAGCTCCTGTAAAAGAGATTAAACAGTTGATTTCCATTCAAAGACGGTTTTTGTGGTCGGGTTCTTCGGAGGTTTCAACAATGGCATGGGTAAGTTAGAGGGATGTATGCAAACCAAAGGAATTGGGAGGGCTTGGGATAAAAGATATTGCAATTTTCAATAGAGAATTATTGTTAAAATGGTTGTGGAGAATTATTCAAGAGGAGGAGGCGATTTGGAAACCTGTATTGAATTTTAAGTATGGTGATTGTCATGAAAAAATTCTGTTATTGCAGGTGGATAATAATGCATGACTTTCTTCGCTGTGGTGGAGAGACATTTTGCTGATTGGGCATTCGAATAAGAAGGACTCCTTCTTGATGCAAGTCTCGTGCAAATTAGGTGATGGTTCTCGTGTTTCGTTTTGGAATGTTCGTTGGATAGATTTGATTCCTCTGCGCAGCAGGTTCCCGGAATTATACAAGTTGTCGGTTTCAAATTTTGGTGCGGTTGCAGATTTCGGTAATTGGTCAAGTTCTGTGTAGCAATGGGATTTAGGAATTCAAGCTGGTAATTTTAGGGGAGGATCTGTTACTTCAGCATAATGACATGCTGCAGCTGTTGACGGAAAAACTGCCAACAGAAGGTGTTCATGATATTTATTTTTGGCCAGGTTCTATTTGTAATCAATTCTCAGTGAAAGCTTGCTGTGACTATATTCAACATGTTGTTGGGTTGGGTTGGATGGAAATGAACTCCAAGACTGTTATAGAAATTATGTGGCAATCAATGATTCCGATGAAGGTCAAATTGTTGGGATAGAGACTGTTATTGGATAGATTACCAACTCGTTATAATCTTACAGCTAGAGAGGTAATTTCTAATCCCCATGATATTGTTTGTGTATTATGTTTCAATGGCATGGAAACTTTGGACCATGTTATGATATCTTGTCCAAAGATTTCTTTGGTTTGGAGAGCGATTTCGGATTGGGTCGGTGTTCCTTGGAGTGAAAGAGAAAACTATGGAGAATATTTGATGGAGTGATTTATGGAGTTGGTTCATAGAACGTCGAAAAAAATCTGCGTTTTTGATTTAGTTTTGCACTTGTTGGTGTATTTGATGGATTAGAAAGCAAATCATTTTCAACGGCGGTGTAAGTTGTGTAGAAAATTTAGTTTATAAAATAATGCATACTTCGTGATGGTGGGTATCTATTGAAGCGACTAATAGATTCCTTGAATGGTCAAAACTTCTTATTGATTTTTGTAAATGATGTTTTGGCTTGGTAGGGTGTATATTTTGTGTAAGACATACTTCTGTATTGTATCGGTTGGAATTTGGTTTGCTTCTTGCATTTCTTTTGAATAGAGAGAATTTGCTTATAAAAAATAACATTAAACCACAAAGCATAGACATGTAACTTCATAATCCACACATGTATATATCAAGTGTACAACACATCAATATATTATTAATACAAAATACACATTAACCTACAAACAACAATTGTCTCGGGTGGGTTACACTGGTTCTAAATCTCAGTTCAAACACAAACTCTCTGGGTATGTACTGGTATATACACATACATTGGTGTACTAGAATGATGATAGAAATGGCAATAATAATTCCCGTTGCTGAGCATTCAATGACAGTAAAATTGTCTCAAACGTATTAGGAGGAATGTTCGCGGCAAGCTGTCTCAGCAAACTATTCATCTGGTCAATTGTTTGTGCTGTAGCCAATCTGTCACCCTTTTGAATAACCTGAATTTCAAATTAAAAAATATTAAGAAAATCTAGCAATTATAAAGGAGAACATAATAAATGAAAGGTTATATGCAATAAGATATCAGCACAATGTAAACCTAATAAAATGAATACAAATATCAAATTAAATCTCATTGACACCATTGATAGTTGTCAAATATTAAAGCATCTCTAAACTCAAGAAAAAATACAAAGAAAAACAATACTCACGTCGAGAAACACAGTAATAATCTTAGCAAGATTTTGATTGCCAGCTCCTAAAAGATCCTTATCTAATCTGAAAAGCATTAAAGCATTCTGTTTATACAACTGTATATTATATTCTAAACTGGCAATTGAATAATTCAAAAAATTCTTTTGAACTTTCTTACCTTGCAACCATCAAACAGAGCTGTTCATGCATAATTTTGGCTTCAGCCAAATCGTCTTTCAGTGGCAAGAAACTTAACCAGACAGGAACAGCCTGCAATAATGAAATGAGTAAAGTTTGTTTTCACTTGTCACCAATTGAAAAATTGATTATACAATTTGATAAAATTTAGATAGATAGTGGAAAAATCCATTATTTTAAATTGCATTCCTAATTGTGGCCACAATACTGTGATCTTCAATCACGTGTATATATTGCGGCCACAATATAATGATACTTCGTAGATTCACAGCGATTTAAAACCACATTGAAATCTACATATAAAACAAGAAGAAGATCTATACTCCAGTAGGCATTAGAAGGAAAATGTTACCGTAGAACCATCAATGCTATCACGATGGAATTCACAGATTCTTCCTAGAGCAGAAACTGCAACATCATATGTTGCATTCTTGGAGGAATTCGATGCATTGCGATCTTTTAATAAAATACTGATTTCTGACAATATCACTGAAAACCACAAAAAATAAATATATTTAATTATGAAATTATTGGTAACACATAATGGAAGAATAATTTCACAGAAAACAACATACTATTGATAAAAGGCTTGAAATTTGGTGTTCCAAATTCAGCACAAATTCGAATTCCTCTTGCTGCCTCCTGAAAATATGGTAAGAATAAGTAAATAAATTTATATACAAAAACTGCATAAAGAATGAAACCAAGCAGAAAAAAATATGATAAACCTCCTTGATTTCAGAATTTTTGTCACCGCATGCATCCACCAAGATAGGAAGGTAATTTGCAAAATACCTATCCAAAATAGCAAATCGAAACCTTTAATGTGTTATCATCAATTAATATGACACTGATGAAAATATTATTGAAGATACAAGAAGAGGGAAGAGGAAGATAAAAAAGGCTACTTGTGAGCTACTTCATGACAACTTTGTGCAACTAGGTTAAAAGCTGACAAAACAATCCTTCTTTGCTTAGCATTCCCTTTATCCTGAAAGAAGAAAGAAGGAAATATTATTATGATTATGAGCCCTAATGGCAAGTTTAGAAACAAAACCTTGCAAAGAAAGTGGAAAAAGCGGCTAATGCAGCAGCAAAACCACAATAATTACTGTTGTGCACTGCAATTTACTATGAATATATTAATAATATTCCTACCGAGTTAGCATAATAAATCATATATGTGCTAATTTTCCACGGATAATGAAATCCAACGTATTGAAAGACAATAACTTTACCTGAATAGATGATAACATTTTGTTCATTACAGTATCCACATTCTGGTATAATAATAAGCTTTCTGGAAGAGTGTTCTTCAGAAAGTATAACATTGCTGAGGCAGCTTGTTCCTTAGAAAAATAACATGCAATTGTTAAATTTTTAGATACTGACAACGTGCTAAAGAAAAACACACTCGTTCATGATACACATTGCTATATACATTGCTATATTATCATAATGTAACAGAATGTGAATAAATTGCTATTATTCCCCGATACATTATTTAGTGCAAAATATTTTTAAATAGAGCTATTGCACTATTGTGTAACATAATTTAAACAAACTGTTGTTTTCCACAATCTGCTATTAATAATAATGATTCAAAGCAAGCCATCAGAAAATAAAAAACTAAAGGTATTGCTAATTTAAACCCTCCTATCTTATATATTTTTTAGAAAAAGCATTTTAGTAAATTACACCCTTAGCAAATTTGATGTTATAACTTTCAAACGTAGGAGTGGAAATCCATTACTACATTTTAACACAAACAATTAAAATATTCCTCTATATTAAAGAAAAAACAAAAGAAAGCTGCTGCACTAAGATTAAAGAAATTTTCCATCATATGTAGGGTGATAATTTTGTATTTATATAGTTTTACAATGATTGAAAAATTAATGAAATTAGTTGTTTTGTTGATTGAAAATTTTAAAAATATAAAGGGAATTATTTGTATTACAGTAATATAAAAAACATTACAAGCAATGGTTGCATTATTGTTGCGGCAACTTTTGCAACTACATCGGACCATTGTTGCGGTGCAATCTTCAATCGTATATACCAATCATTGTAATTGCCACATTAATCTGCCACTATCCTGTTTGTTAAACTTTCTCATAAAAAAATTAAAATTTCAAACCCTCCATAGCCCTAATCTACTTGAGATTAGAAGAAAATTTGATCTTTTAAGTTTTTTAAAACTGTATGTTAAGCATCTCTCAATGAATACTTGTGGTGTAAACTGGTATATTTCTATAGTTAGGAAAAGCAAAATAATTTAACGCTGTAATGACTATAATGCGTGTTGCAACGTCTGCCATGAGTGCAATTTTGTGACTGTGGCCGCAATTTAAAATCATAGACTAAGTAAACAAAGCATATTTTTTGAAGGTGAAGCAACTATAATGGATAATACAAGTTTTAGAATAAGGGGAAGAAGGATTTATAGGATACCTTCACTTTGTTGTCTCCATCGCTAACAAGTGCAATGGAAAAAGCATGCACAAACCTATGATGATAACGAATTTGAGCCGATTCGACAAAAATTATAGGCATCTCCATCAAAGTAAAAGCTGCCAACCGAACTTGAACATGAGAGTCTTGGAATAACTTCAAAATTCTGATTACAATTTCTTCTAGAAATTTATCCTCCAAAACCTGCACAAATGTATGTATATGGAGATACACAGAAGGAGAATCACCACTTTAAGTCAAACTGAACTGAACCATAACTACATATGCACTACACTACGTGTCTTAAAAGATTACTAATCAACCATTATTACAAAACACTTTTGTTAAACAATGTTAACTTCAAGGTTTTAACCCTATTCAATGTCACATCACGACCGAACTCGGGAAAGCCAAAAGCCTTTACGCAACAAGGACCATTTTTTAAAATTTTAGTTGAGTTGGCATTTAAACCCTAATAATATGCATAAAATCACATATGCTCTAGTGCAAGAACTAGTTACTAGTATAGTTATAACTATCGTATTATATAAAAGATGGATGTTATAAACATAAAAAGAGAGATCATAGTTATGATGATGAGGTCACCATTTCGTCTGAGAACTCTTTTGCAATCTCAGTGAGCAGTGTAATCCCTGCATGTCGCATTTTCCAGTCCGTTGAATCCAAGTAATAATTCTTCAACAGTTCATGAGTAACAGTCACAACTTTGGTTCCTCCAAACACAACACAAAGCTTCTTCAAACACTTGATTCCAAATTCATATGCATCATCCACCTTTTCATTCTGGGGATCTGCACCTTTTTCTCTTTCATCTCCCGTCCCACGATCAGCACCACAATAAGCACCGTTATGGTTACCGTCATTATTACTGTTACCGTTCTCTTTAACACACAGAACCAAAGTCTTCATCGGAACGATAAATAACCTAACCACCATTTCATGTGGAAGACTCGCCAGCACCTGCTCGCTTTCCTTCAACTCAGCCATCGCGAGCACCAATTCAAAAGCCAGACGACGAGTTTCTTCGGTAACGCTGCAATTCTCAGCGATCTGAAGCGCATCGAGAACCATATCACTCATGTAAGGCTTCAACAGAACAGGCTCAGCAGAAACAAGCTTAACCAACTCAGCAAAAGCACTTTTGAAATAGCTTCTCTCGAAGCCATGCAAGAGTGCAAACACAGCAACCATCATCGCTCTAAGTAGTTCGTGAAAAAGCTGATTATCAGAAAACAAACAAATCAAGTTCACCACCGCCGCGAAGGACGCAACCTGCACGTCAGGGTTCCGGGAAGTGAGACCGGCCAAAAACGATGAATGAAGTACACGAACACGGTCGTGTAGAGAATTCGAGAGGCTTAAACGACAGTCGTTTGTGAGTGAAGAGAAAACTAAAAGAGAAAACTCTCGAAGCTTTTCGTCGTTTGAATTAACGGAGGAGAGAAGAAAATCGAGAATCTCGTTCCAGTGTTGTTGAGATTTGTATATAACTGAAACGGTTTGTGAGAGGATAGTTGACGCGAGTCTAAGGACGTGGACGGACGTCTCTTCAGTGAGATAGTTAATGAAGTGGGCCTGAAGACGAGATTGGGCCTGAGGGCGTAATTTGGGCCAGAGTTCGTTGGGTTGGACAAAAATAAGAGCGCGTGCGGCGTTGGTGCGCGTGGGGATTTCGGGACTGGATGTTAGGAGGAAAAAGAGTTTGATCATGAGGAGATCGGGGTGGTGGTGTTTGCAGCATTGGAGGAACGTGAGAGCTTGAGATCTATTTTGCTGTTGTTGAGGATTGTAGAGACGAGAGAAGAGAGTTTCCATGGCGGTGTCGTCATTGGAACTGAGAATCTTGAAGGTTTCGGATTGTAATTCAAAAGGGAATTCAGGTTCCATTTCGAGAAAAGAGTGCAATTGGGTTTTGGTGTGACTGTGATTTACGTGAGTGAGTAAGAGTATGCGAAGGAGAGAGAAAGAGAGCTTTCTTGGCTATAACGAAAGAGAAGAATGGAAAAAATACTAGATCACAAAAGGAAGACAGACACAAGGGTATATATATACACGGCCGCGGAAAGGGAAGAAACCATAAATAACACGATACACTGAACCTCTGAACCCAAGTATGCTCAAATATGATTAGCTGATGCTAAAAGTGTCTTACTTTCTGATCCCTCTTAAATTCAGTCAGGATCGTTAATAAAGAATTGGTCAAATAAATATGTTTTTTTTTTCTCTTTCAATTATTTTTAAATTAGGTATTTTATTAAAAAAATTAAATTATGTTTTTTTTTTTTACTTTTTCTATTTTTCTTTGACCACAAAAATATAAATGTTTTTTGGGGTTGAGAAAAGGAAAGGAAAATAAAATAAAATAAAAAAAGAGAAAAATAAAATTGAGGACTGACGTGTCTCCACTAGCACCTAACTCGCATCGGCCTGCTTCAATTTTGGCCAAACAATTACATGCAGCAGTAACTTCTCTCCAAAAATTCGTAAGGATGACTTACTATCTTCTTCTTGACAATTCTTTATCACAGGTATTTGACACTACATCTCTAGAGAAGTACTTGGGGTTCCCCATGATCCACAGAAGGTTTAGTCTGGAGGATTTTTAATTTTTAGTTGACAAAATTCATGCAAAGTAGATAGAGTAATTGTGACGAAGTCTATTTTGGCATTAATCCCCACTTATTCATGCATTTTTCCTATTTGCACAAAGTTGTCTGTGACCTTATCGATAAATCCACCAGGAATTTCATTTGAAAAGACGCTTCTGATAAAGGTATCCATCTTATAGGATACGATAAAATAACTAAGTTTAAGAAGGAGGTGGTGGTTTGGGTATCTGCATCGATATGGAATCAAAAACATATTGGGGAAATTTGTTTGGGATATTCATAATGACTATGATAAGCTTTGAGTCAAGTTGTTAAGGAATAATTATGTTAGGGATACTGAGTTCTTGGAAGTTCTAAAGAAGCAAAGGTCAGTTGTTTTGAATTCTATCATGGAAGCCAAAACAATGTTAAGAGATGGTTTTGAGTTTCGACTAAGCAACCGTTCCACTTCCTTTTGGTATGCACCTTGGTCTAGCTTTGGCAAGCTGGGTAATCAAGTTTGGTATGTGAAAAATCATAATTGTAAGAGCATATTAAATTATTTGCGTTACACACTATTAACGACGAATCTATGTATGGTCTCAATGTTTCATGACACTAATATGTATCATGCATGTTGGTTTAAGTAATACCAACTACAATGTACTATTTATATCTACATTGAACAAGTAAAAATGACATTTCCATTATTAAGATAAGCTTTGGGTCAAGTTGTTAAGGAATACCTTCTAGTGTTGCTATTTTGATTGTTCTTTTTATTGCCAAATCCTCAATTCTATTGCTTATAGTTTTTTTTTCTTCCCATTATTGCTGATTTGTAACTTGATTTGAAACGAAGCCTCCATAAATTCCTATGTCACATAAGCTTCATTAGCTCTTGTGCCTTCAAGCATGCAAAACATAAGCCAAATGTTGTTAGATAGATCTTTTGTGTTCTTCAAATTTTTTATAGGGGCTTCATATTTTTCAAATACTCGCAAGAAATTTTTGTACAATTATTTAGTTTGCAAATTCAGTGCCTATTTATAACTTCACCTTGTTAGCAATTGCCTGAGTACTCAAAGAAAATCTCAAACTTCTTTACTATTTGCAATTCAAAATTTCATAATTAAATTTAAAATTTGATTTGGTTATTCGATCTACGCCTGACTTTTTTGTTGAAACTCCAGGCAACAAACAAACTTTTGTTTTTATCTCTTTGAGTTTTTTCTGCTTATGATTATTCATCAGGGCCACAGTAGGAGTTTCGGGTACTGGCAGGACACCAAAATCCTTTTCTACACCTTCGAAAAATCTAATGCTTTCAAGTAAGTTTCCATTCTCACGACCAAAACTCATAGTTTTTCTCCATCAAATATTGGAAATGAAGCTTTGTGAAAAAGCTTACTTCAACATCCATCTATGACAAGCAGATCTCGATCAAATCAATATTATATGTTCTATATAGCACAAGCTATCTAATATTTTCGTGGAGGCACTGAGACAGGAGGACTTGATGTTCTTTTTAGGATAAAATGGAGACTTAGCTTCCAGTGAAAGATGATTTATGGCTGAGCGATTAAATAGATAAATTATGATACTTGAAAATATTCTATTTTAACAAATCGTACTTATAATCCATATATGTATATATAATTAATACAAAATACACAAACACAGCCTCTCTAGGTGTGTACTGGTATATACACAGACATTGATGTACTAGAATGATGATAGAAATGGCAATAATAATTCCCGTTGCTGAGCACTCAATGATAGTAAAATTGTCTCAAACATATTTGGAGGAATGTTCTGCGCAAGCTGTCTCAGCAAACTATTCATCTGATCAATTGTTTGTGTTGTAGCCAATCTGTCACCCTTTTCAATAACCTGAATTTCAAATTAAAAAATATTAAGAAAGTCTAGCAATTATAAAGGAGAACATAAGGTTATCAATATTCATTGAAATAAATGAAAGTTTATATGCAATAAGATATCAGCACAATGTAAACCTAAGCAAATGAATACAAATATCAAAGTAAATCTCAATGACACCATTGATAGTTGTCCTGTATTAAATGATCTCTAAACTGACAAGAAAACAAAGAAAAACAATAACTCACTTTGAGAAACACAGCAAAAATCTTAGCAAGATTTTGATTTCCAGCTCCTAAAAGATCCTTATCTAATCTGAAAAGCATTAAAGCATTCTTTTAATACAACTGTATATTCTACACTGGCAATTCAATAACTCAAAAAATTCTTTTGAACTTCCTTACCTTGCAACCATCAAACAGAGCTGTTCATGCATAATTTTGGCTTCAGCCAAATCATCTTTAAGGGGCAAGAAACTTAACCAGGCAGGAACAGCCTGCAAGAATGAAATGAGTAAAGTTTGTTTTCACTTGTCACCAATTGAAAAATTGATTATACAACTTGATAAAATTTAGATAGATGATGGAAAAATCTATTGTTTTAAATTGCATTCCTGATCTGCAATTGCAGCCACAATAACGTGATCTTCAATCACGTGTATATATTGCGGCCACAATTCTTAGCAGCTTCACAGCGATTTAAAACCACATTGAAATCTACATATAGAGCAAGAAGATCTATACTCCAGTACGCATTAGAAGGAAAATGTTACCGTGGAGCCATCAATGCTATCACGATGGAATTCACATATTCTTCCTAGAGCAGAAACTGCAACATCATATGTTGCATTCTCGGAGGAATTCGAATTCGATGCAATACGATCTTTCAATAAAATACGGAGTTCTGACAATATCACTGAAAATACAAAATAAATATATTTAATTCTGAAATTATTGATGACACACAATGGACGAATAATTACACAGAAAACATCATACTATTGATAAAAGGCTTGAAATTTGGTGTTCCAAACTCAGCACAAATTCGAATTCCCCTTGCTGCTTCCTGAAAAGGGGGCAAAATAAGTAAATAATTATATAAACAAAAATTGCATTAAGAATGAAACCAAGCGGTAAAAAAGATAATAAACCTCTTTGACGTCAAAATTTTCATCACGGCATGCTTCCAGTAAGATAGGAAGGTAATTCGCAAAATACCTACAAAAAAAGAAAATCGAAACCTTTAATGTTTTATAATCAATTAGTATGACATTGATGAAAATATTATTGAAGATACAAGAAGAGGGAAGAGGAAGATAAAAAAGGCTACTTGTGAGCTACTTCATGACAACTTTGTGCAACTAGGTTAAAAGCTAACAAAACAATCCTTCTTTGCTTAGCATTCCCTTTATCCTGAAACAAGAAAGCAGGAAATATTATTATGAGCCCTAATGGCAAGTTTAGAAACAAAACCTTGAAAAGAAAGTGGCAAATGCTGCTAATGCAGCCGCAAAACCACAGTAATCGCAATTGTGCACTGCAATTTACTACGAAAATATTAATAATACTCCTACCAAGTTAGCATGATAAATCATATATATGTGGTAATTTTCCACAGATAATGAAATCCAACATATTGAAAGACAATAATTTACCTGAATCGATGATAACATTCTGTTTATTACAGTATCCACATTCTGGTATAACAATAAACTTTCTGGAAGAGTGTTCTGCAGAAAGTATAACATTGCTGAGGCAGCTTGTTCCTAGAAAAGAAACATGCAATTATTAAATTGTAAGATATTGATAATGTGCTAAAGGAAAACACACCTGTCGATGATAAACATATTACTGTATATATTTGCAGCCTCCAATATTATAATATAACAGAATGTAAATAAATTTCTATTATTCCACAATACATTATCTAGTACAAAATATTGTCAAATGGAGCTGTAGCATACCACTATTATGTAACATAATTTAAACAAACTGTTATTTTCCACAATCTGCTATTAAAAATATTGATTCAAAGCAAAGCCATCAGAAAATAAAAAACTAAAGGTTATAACTTTAGAAAAAGCATCTTAATAAATTACGCCTTTAGCAAATTTAAAGTTATAACTTTCAAACGTATTCCTTTTAATAGGAGTGGAAATCCATAACTACTTATTAACACAAACACAGTTAAAATATTCCCCTATATCAAAGAAAAAACAAAAGAATATTGCTGCACTAAGATTAAATAAATTTTCCATCATGTGTGTTGTTAAGACTAGGGCAAAAGTTTTTTATTTTTATAAGTTTACAATGATTGAAAACTTAATGAAATTAGTTGTTTTGTTAGTTGAAAATTTTAAAATCAAGAGGGAATTATAATTACAATAATATAAAAAACATTACAAAGCAATTGTGGTTGCAATAT